ACCTCCTCCCACAGGCACCTCCCCACCCAGGCACCCCCTTCCCCAGGCACCTCCTCCCCCAGGAACCCCTCCCCCAGGCACGCCTCCCCCAGGCCTTCTGTGCGGGGCGGAGTCCCGCGGGGTGTTGCTGCGCTCAGGCTCCGGTGCCCCAAGGTCTGACAGAAGCGCATGGTGAGAGGGGACTGACGCCTGTCGCACTTTCCCTCTTGATAATGGAGCGCAACATATTCAGCTTTAGGTCCAGGTAAAGCAACAACACAACCGAACCACCAGCCCACCTCTGACTCCGAAACTCATTCTCCTGCGTGAACATCTGAGTCAGAGCTTTGCGCCCAGCAGTGAGATCCTGGGGGGCGGCAGTGAGATCCTGGGGGGCCTTTCAGGGAAGCAGTGCCTCCGGCGCCCAGTGTCCTCACGCCCCCATCTGAGCGCCCCCTCTCCCTCCAGGGGGGCAGGGGGTGAGGCTTCCCCCGATCCGAATCCGAGTGGATGGAACCTAATGGCCGTGAATGCCCCGTCCTGCCCTTCTCATCAGGGAGTTAACAGGACGGTGGATGGTGGACAGACAGATGCTAGATGATGGATGGATGGATAGGTAGATGGGGTGCTTCACTGATATAGATGGATAGATGATAGATAGACAGAGTGCTTCATAGAGTGTTTCATAGATAGATAGATAGATAGAGTGCTTCATAGATAGATAGATGGATGGCTGATGGATAGATAGATAGAACGGGTGCTTCACGGACTGTGTGGGAGAGAGCAGGAATCTCTCGTGCACCCCCTGCCCCTCCTCTCTGTGCCTGGCTGTGGGGGAAGGCCTGGCGTGGAGGGAGGGGTGGGGAGTGACACTCGCCCTCCTGCCGCGCAGCCCCCGCCGCTTCCAAATGCGAACACTCAGGCTGCGTGTGCCCTCACCATCTCCTCTCCAGGAGCAGACTGCCCGAGGCTGAGGGAGGCATTCAACACGTCACCCTTCACCCCCAGACCCGCCTGTGTGGGAGCCGGGCGCCCGCGAGGCCAGGCTCCTCCTGCCACTCAGGCCCGCCCTCCGCCCGGGCCCTTCCGATCGCTCAGGACAGGCTGGCCGTGAACAGTAGGACCTTGTGGAAATGGGAGTGACCTTGAGGGCACTGCCGCCCTCTCGGGTCACCTGCTCCTGGCGGCGGCGGCGAGATGCTGTGTGACGAGAACACTCGGTCGCCCGTGTGAGGGCCCAGGGCAGAGGGAGGCCTCCTGCCAACCCGTGCA